TTTAAAATATCTCTCCTTTAACAAATCCATCATGAAACTAAATGTAAATAGTAAATACAACAAGGTTAACCCAATGGGTCACAAGCCGTCTAGTTAAGAGTTAACATTCCAGTGACTGATTTTATTTTTTCAATCGAGTTCACCCCAAGCAAGGCACTAAAGCCACTAAGACACAAGAGGTTACTGGATGTGGAAGAATGAGAAAACAGAAACATTACTAAGGAGTGAGAACAAAAGAGATAAGGGTTGCAGTCTGGAAAATAATTCATTAACCACTTTTGAACTTTCTCATGGTTGGACAGTGAGGACTAAAATGGAAAAAAGTTAAAATCAGTGCCATGTTTTTGCAGCTCACATGGAGTTGCTGTATATAATCTAAATTTGATCGTGTCACCCTTCAAATGGGGGCTGATCAGAGGAACAGTACAAAATTATGTTTTAACAATGTTGAGTTATAATAATTTTTAAAAAATATTAAATGATGCATTGTTTTTAATCGACATCACTCCTATGCAAGGCTGTAAAGCCACTAAGACTCAAGGGGTTTCAGGGTGTAGAATAATTAATAATAATGTGCGTGAAGAGGAAAGAGTAATCAGGAGGACAGTAGACAGCAAGTGACATTGAATTTACATTTTTGAAGATCAAACTTGCCACAGGCGAGAAGTGCGAGAAAGAGAATTGTTATCATAAAATTTACGATTACATCTAACCAGCTCAACTGTAAATTGAAGAGATCTCGACGCCAGTTTAGTACTGCACTTAAATTCATAAAGTCTAAGAACCATGGCGAAGAGCTCATCCAAATAATTACCATGAAAGTATTTATACAAAAGGCACAGAGAGGCAAGGTGGGAGGATGACTGAAGCCGAGATGCCAGGTCAGAACTAATAATATTGTTGATTCTCTTTTGCATTTTATCAAGGAGCTCAAGATAATAAGCATGAGCAAAAGGCCATATATGACAGCAATATTCTAAACATGGACGAATGATAGACATATAGATATTTCAGATCGATTGTAAAGTGAAAAGTTCTATCGCACGTCACAGTGACTCAAGGCTAGCGAGGTCTGTCTTTTAGTTTTCGTATCTAATGAGGAAAAAGTAGTAAATGACCAGTGACAACGAGGCTAATTTGAATTCCATTCTGTCAAAATATCGAACTTTATTGTAAACCTTTTCCAACTCTGGTACATTTTGGATGCCATGACAGAATATTTGTCGAAAAGGATCAACGCGGAATGAAGCGTTCAACATCTAAACATTATTAAACATCTAAACACCTAAACATTATTAAACATCTAAACAATATTAAAAGCCTAAACATTATGAAACACTTAAACATTATTAGTCACCCAAACATCTAAACATAATTATTAAACATCTAAACATTATTAAACATCTAAACATCTAAAAATTATTAAACATCTAAAAATTATTAAACATCTAAAAATTAATAAACATCTAAACATTATTAAAAATCTATACATCTAAACATTATTAAATATGGAAACATCTAAACAGTATTAAACATCTAAATATCTAAACATTATTAAACATCTAAACATTGTTAAACCTCTAAAAATTATTAAACATCTAAACATTATTAAACATCTAGACATCTAAACATTATGAAATATCGAAACATCTAAACAGTATTAAACATCTAAACATTATTAAACATCTAAACATTATTTTAAGTGACCTCATCTGGTGAGGGTCCCCCAACCCAACAATGTAGCCTACGTTGGCACCGGTTTTTTGTTAATGATCGTCACAGCGACATCTTTGTTCGTGAGTTAACAGGTGTTTTGTTATATATATATATATATATATATATATATATATATATATATATATATATATATATATATATATGTGTGTGTGTGTGTGTGTGTGTGTGTGTTGTTATATATATATATATATATGTTACACACACACACATATATATATATATATATATAAATTAATGTGAGTTTAAAACCTGGGTTTCACGCCCTTTGCGATCGTCGGACAATCGTCTGACGAAAGGAAATGACGTGAAACCCAGGTTCACAAACTCACATCAACGCAAATAAATATTTTAGCTCTATCACTGATACTGACCGCTTTCCAACAAGTACCGCACATATATAATATATAAATAATATATATAGGAATTGCATTATCTATCTATCTATCTATCTATATATATATATATATATATATATATATATATATATATATGTGTGTGTGTGTGTGTGTGTGTGTAATTTATTTAAACAGAAAATATATTAACTGGACTTAATCCATTTCATGATATATATATATATATATATATATATATATATATATATATATATATATATATATGTGTGTGTGTGTGTGTGTGTGTGTGTAGATAGAGAAAAAAGTACAGAGATTAAAGTGATAGTGATGGCGATGATTCTAAACGAAAAGAAGATATTTAAATTGACGTTGCAAACAAAAACCTCAGTAGGGGCCATTAATGATGTCAGCAATAAAAGAAAGAAAGAAAGAAAGAAAGAAAGAAAGAAAGAAAATATTCTTTTTCGTTTCAACCTTATACAACATCTGCGTTTCTCGCCGCCCAAGTTAAATCACGTGAACATGCTGCTGACGTCACTACGTCAAAAAGGTCACTAGCCAAAAGAGCCAATTTGTTGCCGCCCGAGTGGCTTGTTTTCAGAGGACACTCAGCTCCTTTGAGACACGCGTTTCTGTCCGTTCTGTGCATCCGCTAACTTGAAGGAGAGAGCTCATTGCTCATTACACTGGAAACGTAAATTGGTTTGGCCAGAGAGAAATCCTGGCAATCGGATAATGTCGACCAAAAGAAAGATTTCTTTTTTTTTTTTTTTTGCCAACTCATCCAGATTTCCCATATTTATTTATATCATTTAATTTAATTCTCCAAATTCAGTTCATCGTGGCTAAGTAAGTTTATTCTTTCAAAGAAATGATTTAATTTTGCAATAAAAATAGTTTGCCTTGCCTTTGTAAAACAAGTTCAAAAATCTCGATGCAAGACCCACACAATTTTGTAATAAATAATTGCAAACAATTACATTTACTAGTTTTAACCTGTGAAAATTTCACGGCTCTCCTATTTGAAATTTCTGATGAATCTTAATTCTTACGTTAATGGTTGAATAAGCTCATGGCGTGTTCTACGACAATAACATATCCCTAGTAATTCGCCTATCGCATCGTTACATATTTAAGCTTAGCAACTTTAACAACATATTGCAATAACAAACATAAATATGAATGATGGTCGTTATTTTAAGAAGTGGGTACAAATGAGAACTTTTTGTATTTCACTGGAACGCTGGTCATTATTTAAAGGGGTACAAATAAAAAAGATTTGAAATTAACAACTTTCATATTTCACTGAAACAGATGTTAAACACTTCTATCTGCCCTTCTTTCTTTCATTTTCCCGCTGAAATCAAATAGCGTCTCTGATATGTCTTTTCCTTTTTTTCCACTCGGTCGAAATGGAGTAGTCCATTATTTATGAGGTATTAGAAAGAGACGTTATAAACGTCCCTCTTTCTTTCTTTCCCTTTTCTTCATTGACACCAAGTAGTGTCTCAGATATATATTTTGTCATCCCACGGGATCAAAACGAAATTGTCCATTATTTATGAGGTGTTAGCAGGAGACGTTAAAAAAGTTCTTCATTCTTTCTTTCACTGAAACCAAGGATTGACTCGGGCATGTCTTTTGTCTTTCCACGCGATCAAAACGGAATAGACTATTATTTATTATGTGTTTGCAGGGCGTAACGGCTGTGAGAACTAATGAAGGTGGGGACAAGCACTATGATAACAGGATACTAGCAGGGACAATTCAACTCTTCATCCTGACAATTATTATTTTATAATCTCAAATAAACACTTAACTATTTGTATATAAATATTCATGTATACATATATATATACATATATATATATATATATATATATATATATATATATATATATATAAAAAGATGTATATATATGTATATATATATATATATTTTCTTACATACAATCTACCTTTTCTTTTCTCATTCAATTATTCATTATTTTAATATATATATATATGTGTGTGTGTGTGTGCGTATGTACCCTTGTTTTCTTCCCCTTCTTCTTCTGCACATCCTTCTCCTTCCATATTCAGCGGATTCATTTGATCTCCTAATTTTTAATATTAAAAGCTATACATGTTATTTTTTATTTTATTATATTTTTGCACGCGTATCGAACATTTTTTGATACTACTGTTTCCTGGTCTGATTCAACTCTGACCATTAACCTTATATATATATATATATATATATATATATATATATATATATATATATATATATCACTATGGTGAAAAGGGGAATTTTTAACGGCTGCTGCTGCTGCTTTAAATGCATCTCTTTCGTAAAAATTGAGCGCTATGGCGGCCGGTGTGGCGTTTATATACCACGTATATAATGCGTTAAAAATCCCCTTACTCTGCGGTGGGCCGATAGATTAGGAGTAAGGGTCTTCGTGTCTTTCTACGCAATCAAAACATTATTTATGAGGTATTGGCAGGAAACGTTAAATACATTTATCTTCCTTGTTCTTTCTTTCTTTCAAGCCAAATTCCCGCCTTACAACATTTATTTTAATAACAATTAAAAAAAAGAATTCAACAGACAGTATTATTTCATTTTATTCATGTTAATATGCAGTTAAACAAAAACAAACCAAAACAACACGAGGAAATTAAACGATTTTAAACTCTTTCAAGCTTGGAAAAGTACAGATTAATGTCTGCAGTAAACTTCAAGGAATTCGGAATATTTTCAACTTCACCCTGGGACCTTTACAGCTACCAGGCCATTTTTCGTATTTTGACATTTTTTATAAACATAAATGGGTCACCCATATAGTTACCGATATTTTGTTAATGGAAAAGACTAACTGCATCTCAGCTGCTAATGTTTTAATTCGAGGTTCATATTCTGTTTGCTTACGGTCACATCATGTTGAAACACCGGTTACTGTACGCTCACCGAAGTTAAGCAAAGTCGAACCTGATCAGTTCCTAGATGGGTGACCGTTTGGAAATAACAGATGCTGTAAGTCTGGATGTGCAGGTGGTGTAATGGATAATGACTCAAAATTGTTAATAGGAGAGTCGATTTCCAATTCCAGTTGATTTCGTTATAATCATTTACGCGCAAATACCCTTGGGAAAGGTATGAATCTACCCCTCCCTCTAGCTATAGTTTAATTAGTAAGACATGTATAACCCAAACTATTATTATCTCCCCACAAAAAATAAAATTGCGAACAAAATATTTAGATTTCAGCATTAAATAATCGATAGATTTGTTGATATACTGCTAAACAAAAACAACTAACCAACTAATCATGCTCTGTTGTCTTCTGCTTAACGAATATTAGAGTCATACAAGCCCAACATGTAGTGCAGCTATATAAGCAGTGACGTGTCTGGAGCAAGGACTTCTGATGCAGTCCATCAATCTTCCGGCTGGTTTTCAATTCAGACTTTTCCTTCTCCAAGACTGGTTGCCATCTCAAGGCAAGAGAGTGTCCAGTCAGCTCTGCTATTTAACCACATGTCTGTCAACAAACAATAAAATCTTTTCTACCCAACTGTCATGGGTCCTTACCTATAACTACAGAATGAACTATTCCTAACGCTATGTATACTACGCCTCTCAAGAGAGAAGGACGAATCAAGCCGAACTTCTCGGTTTGACGGTCGAACTCTCTGCCTCTGAGCAGGGAGGAACCCGGACCAGGCTCTGCCGAAGGCCAGAATCTCGTTCGGGGAGGTTGACCAACCCGATCCCGTTCATACGGGTTCTACGGGCATTTTTTGGCCGAGCCTACGGGCTCGGGAAACCCAGGTTAAACTCGGCCTTGTGCCACATGCAGCCCTCGTGGGCGGTAGCTATATACCGAATCGAGCCTTTCTTCTCGGTTTGACGGTCGAACTCTCGTTCGGGGAGGTTGACCAACCCGATTCTGTTTTTACAGTTTCTACGGGCATTTTTGGGCCGAGCCTTGTGCCACATCTTTCCCTAGTGGGGGGCAAGTAAATATCGAATTGAGTCGAGCCGATAGTAGTTCACTCCAAACCAGACTGACAGTCATACTAACACCTTCCACATCTTGTATTATTATTTCGTGTAATATACCTTCGTTATTTCTACTCTTGTGTTCGTGTTGTTCTTCCTTGGTTCTAACCTGGACTATAACATTCATATTTTATCAATCGGTAAGTATGGTCTAAAAATGTAAAACATTCATCATAAGGAATATCATGATGACGCTGACTATATAGGTATTTACCTGCAAATGAGTTAGAATCTTGGAATAAATTCCTGATTTTAGAATTTGCAAATGAAATTGTGTGAACAATCTATTGTTTTACAGAAAATCAAATGAATAATCGTCTAATTCGTCTAACATGAGAGCATTTTTCCTGTTTTAAGCAATTCACATTCGGACTTCCATTTAAAAATTCTAGAGACTATATTTATTAAATCGTTGAATGATACTCCTTGTAAAATTGAAATGGCTGATTAATCTTAATGTAATGTTTTGTGATATATGGGCAACAAACACACACAAGTACATACATGAAATATAATTTCCATATTTATGCTGGTTTAATAATATATGTAACAAATGAAATATTAATAGAATTTAAAGTTGTTCCTGTTAATATATTTAGGTTGTTGATATGAATTTTTGAAAATGGGTTTCACAGTTGCAAGAATTTAATATCTGGAACTGATTAATTTTAAAATTTTGGAAATAAATATGGTTTTCAGGGGATATCGGTGTTTTTTCTGGTATCTTAATGAAAATACTACAAATGCTTTTCTCTATACGTCTATAGTTAGATAAATACATAAAAATTTTCCTTTTTTCACTCATTGAATCAAAGGAAATTAACATACAAATAATGGTCACGCTTTTTTCATTGAACTCTTGTAGTAACATCACAAATATATGTGAACACGGATATATATATTGTCCATGTGTTTTCAAATGTTCTTTTGAATCATTTTACTCAATGTTGGAATTGTTATTAATAATAAACAAGTTAACCAAAAAAAAAAACTTCAAACATTCATCTACGGTTTCCCATATTTTCGCTGAATAATATTTTTCTACAATTATTTAAAATTTGACTTTTATTTTCTAGACATGGTATGTCATCGCTAGCACTTTCAATCTACAGGACATTATAAAACTAAAATAAAACATGCAAATTAATTTTAATTTTTTTTTTAAAAAAAATTGTTTTCAAGTTATATATTACACAATCAAATTAAGAAGAATTTTTAAAATTATTTTTAAATTAAAAATAATGAAACATACATATATTTATTTAAAAAAAAAAAATTAAAATATTATAACTTTAAATAATTTTCATTTAGAAAATAAATTTTTTTCTAAATTTTAAAAAAATTAATTTCTTTTTTTTCCTAATTTAATTTAATAAAAAAAAAATATTCTGAGTCAGTAGACATTCAAAAAAATTAAAAAGGGATTTATGATTAAAATAAACAAAATTTCAGCAAACTTTTTTTTTTTGTAAAACAAGAACGAGTTGGAAAATTTAAAAAAAATAAAAATATTTTCAAATTTAATCCAAAAATACCTCAGAAACTATGTTGATTTAAAATTATTTTCGAAATATTTTATTTTTTAAAGTCATGGAAAAATTAAATTTTTATTATATTACCAACAATCTAAAGCCACGTCCATAACTAAAGGACGTTGCTCTAGAAAAAAATTGATTCAATTTCAAAGCAGATTAAAAACCCGTAACCATCAAAAGACATGGAGGAAAGCAAATCATAAATTTTTTTTAATCAAGGACCCTAAAATCCCTTTCTGAAAATCAGCTCAATAATTGGGAAAATAACATCAAAAATGAAGCCATAGTAATAGAATAATCATCAAAAATAAAAAATTTTAATAATATTTATTTTTTGTTCTATAAAACATTTAAAGATTCATCCCAAAAATCAAACTGGTTTTTTTCTTTGTCTAAACCGATTATTCTGTCAATTTCTAAATAATACCGTTTTATTGGAAAAAATCCGTGAAAAATCTTCAAAATTTTAAAAGAGTCGAAAAATTTAACTGGATTGTCAACCTTAAGCCAACCAACTTTTGTTTGTGTTATAATTCAAAGTTAATGTAATTTTATTAATTATCCCCGATTGAAATTTAAAATATCTAAGGGAGACTACTTTTAGATTTGCTGGATAAAGGGTAACAATCCGATTTTATTATATTACACGACAAGTAAACCGAATAAGTGAAGTGAAACACAAAAAAAATTCAAAAATAATGAATGATCTGTGGACCATTTTAAAGTATAGTGTTGTTGGAATTAAAGGTTAAATATTTTGAAATTTATGTGAAGGATATTTGTTATATTATTGTTGACGAAATAGAAAAAAATTTTTCTCATCAAAACATTTAAATTTTTGTCTTATGTCAAGTCAAGGCAAGATAGAAAAACAACGAAAGACCGATGTGAAAAAACAACTTGTATTTATATAAAAATATAATAGATTGTTAAGATAAATTTGCCCAGAATATTTGAAAATAGTCGAGACTGATTTTAAACCAACATTGTTTAATTGTAGCAAATTAAATTGCTTTCGCCTCTTCTTTGAATTCAATGTCCCCACACAATGCAAAATATACATATATGAATATAATATATAGAGTTGTATCATATACGACTGACAAATTAACTTTTTTTTTTATTCATATTTATAAAAAGTTTGTCTGTGAAATAAGTTTAGTCTCAACAAGAAAATGTTCTTTGTCAAAAAGCTTCCAAGGTTGAAAGATACACATTTTGTATATATATTCATGCTATGAAAAATTTTTGATTGATGAAAAAGGAACTTTAAATCATCACATTTCAGTTGAAGGAGTTTTTTTTTTTTTAAAAATGAAAAACTTTAAGAACACAAGAAAAATTGAATAAAAATTGTCATTACCATGTCGGTTGGCTTTTGCCCCTTAACAAAAATGTTCACCAAAAGGAACTGTAAAAAACAAAAAATAAAAAAAAAAAAAAAAGTTTCTTTGATTTATCTCACCTGAAATTTTATCAACCAGGCTGTCTATATTCTGATTTATTTGTAATATCGACTGGAAGCAGAAACGTTTTTTTCCTAGTATTTTATTTTGTTGGTTATGCTAAACAAAAATCTGTTTACGCCATTGTCAAAATTGCTTCGAATTCGTGGTACTGAATCGTCGTTTTTTGCGCCATATTAGAATTTTAAATTTTAAGCATTATGTTCCACCATTCCAATTAGTCGACGGGTCATAACAATACTTCAAATGCGTCTTATTCAAATTTATTGTATTTAAAATACAATTTCTGGCACAAGGCCAAAAAAAGGGGCACAGGGGTTGAGGCTGGTCATCACTAATTATCTTATACCTAGCTAATCTGATTCACGACCCATTCACATATTACAATTTCCACATTCACCATAAGAACTCGTCCATCACCATTCAATCCTCCATACACCATAATACCACGCATCCTCTCAAGGGGAACCTACAAAACACGCCCCATGCCATAAAAAAATCAAATGATTATAAAATATATAAAAAAATTTATGGATGAATAGAATGAGAGGGAGGGAATGAACCCCAAAACAAACTAAACATAAACACAAAGTAAACTAAACATAACTGATATTAGTAGGGCCTGTCCAACCCTCAAAAAAGAGAGGCCGCTGTATTCTGCCCATTAGACAAAATCAAGAGGCTCTCTCGCTAAGGGAGTGGGAAAGGAGAAAAAAATATAAGGACATTAGAAATAAAAAGCTGACCCAGTCAAGATAAAAAGGGGCAAAAACAAACTGGGGAGGTTGGGAATCTCTACTTGGATCATAACCAAAGAGGCAGCCGGGAACAGGCCAGGAACAACACTTACTCACATTAACTAGGTACACAAAAGCTTGTCTAACCTAACCAAGGGGAGGGCTCCACAGGAAACCACCCCGATGTGACGTAGGTTGACCTAAAAGAGAAAATCAAGGCTAGCCCCGTTCAAACGAA